GAGACTGGTTGGGAATAATCCCCCCAGGAGCTGCCAAAAGAAGTTTCAACATTTGAAGGCCATCCTGAGCCATGGGAACAATGGAGAGGACTCACTGTGTGACTCTAGTCGTCTTCCTTGGCCCTGAGAGGCTTCCTCTTCCCTTAGTTCTGTACAGCTCAGCCTGACCTTGACGAAGGTTGTTAGAATTGTATCAGGTTAGTATAAAATCTGTTCCTTACTAAGCTGATCAGATCCCATTTCCTAACTTGTCATTGGATACTTCACATTTAGTTTACTCTGAAATATACATTCAAAAAAGGAAAGACAAAGTCTTTTTGGATGCTATGTTTCAGTGTGTTTTGTGATCTTAATGGTTTTTGCTAATTTTAAAAATCAGTGAGTTGGTGGTAGGGAATAGCTGTTCTCACTAAATGTGTCTTTTAAATGTTCTGGAAAACTGTATCAACAAACAGGGCAAACATCAAGAGCTTGAATCACTGGATTTTTTATACAAAACAATGCTCATGGTAGACAAATACCAAAAACCAAAAAGCGCCTAAAACATAAATTTGAAAAGAAAGGTAAAGAAGAAGGAATGAGTAAAAAAGGAAGGGAGAAGGGGAAGAAGGAAATAGAGGGGGAAAGGAAATTGAAGAGAAGAAAGAAAGGAAAGAAAAATAAAATGGAATGGAGAGTCCTATCCTTTAGAGACAAGAGAAAGTGCAGGTAGAATTTTATGGTGGGGTTCATTTCTGCCTTGCTTCCTGCCCAGCTTCTGTAGAATGGCCCTTAATCATGGTGGCAGTGATTCTGATTGCAGGACCACCTTTGCTGAAGAAAACCTGGGCCATCAAGGTGTTGAGGATAAAGCAGTGATCACAGACTTACACCCTCACCAACTGGGATATGCTCTCCCATTTGAGATGCTCTGGTTTGTGTTGACCTCCAGCTGATAGAGTTAGGGATGGGTGGAAGTCCCAGTCAGCACCAGGGTGGCAAAAAAGTATGCCCAAGAAGTATGCTTTTCTTGGCTCTCCTGTTTCTGAGGTACCCACAGAAGGCAGGAGTGTATGGTGAGCCACTCTGCCAGCACTAGGCACTGCACATTCCACAGCCAATAAGACCCTCTCAGATTTCTATAAGAAGTCAGTCCAGTGGGTCTGCTTTACGTGGATCCCCACTACCTCCAAGTGGTGTTTTTATTGCCAATAAAAGAGACAGGTCCAGGGCATCCCTGAGTATTAGGCACACTGATGCCTGGTGGTGGCGATGGGCGTAGCGTTAGAGGTGGTGCTGGTGCTGGTGCTGCTGACAGTAACGGTGGTGTGATAAGGTGGGGGAGGCCAGCTTACTGTAAGGTGCTCAGAATATGGCCCTTCAATTACATAGATCCATTTTTGGTGCTCTTGAGTCTTTTCTGTAAATTCTACTTTCCATATGGAGTCATTTCCCTTTGGCATGAAGAACATCTTTAGCATACTACGTAGTGTAGTTCTGCTGGCTACAGATTCTCTCACTTAGGCATATATGAATATGTCCTTATGTAGCCCTCATTTTTGAAGGCTATTCTGGTCTCTTCTTCTGCAGTCCCCAGGCAACCGCTGATCTGCTCTTTGTCACTATATTTTCTAGAATTTCAAATAAATGGAAACTTACAGTATGTAATTTTTGCGTAGCTTTTTTCATGCAGAATAATTTTAAGATCCATCCATGTTATGCGTACATCAATTGTTCATTCCTTTATATTGCTGAGTAGTATTTACTGTGTAGCTATACACAATTTGTCACCTGTTGATAGACATTTGGGAGTTTCTGTTTTTTAGCAATTACAGATAAAGTTGCTATGAATATTTGAGTTCAGGTCTTTGCATAGGAATATGTTTTCTTTTCTCTTCGGTAAATACCTGGGGATGGCAAACTGGATCATATGGTAGGTGTGTGTTTATGTTTTTACCAAACTACTGTTTTGCAGAGTGGTTATACTATTTTACTTTTTTACCAACTGTGGTAAATAATCAGAGGTCCACAATTAAATTAGGCTCTCCTTGCTACCAATCTTTCCATTCTTCTCATATTTGCTTTACACAGCCACAAATTGAATTCCAAGTCATTGAACACAGACTTTCTTATAACAGCAAGGAGTTGTTCTGGAAGTGGATCCAGGATTATGTGGCAGAGAATTCTGTGGCTTGGGGAGCTTGAAATGTCTTCTGGAGAGGGGAGGTTGTGGCCATAGGTAAGCATGTTCCCTTGGCTCAAAGGATTTTTTTTTTTTTTCTCTTTGTGAAGGGACTTGGCCAAAGGATGACCAGAAGGGAGCCTTGAAAGCATGGAGCTCAGGACAGTGCATCCTATTTAGGCCCAAGGGCTGTACTGTTCTCTTCTAATCCACCCAAATTCTACTAACCATCTTAACCCATCCGACATCCTCACTCCTGTATCTTCTGTCATGTGGCAGTTCTGTGTGTCCCCCTCCTCTCCGTTGTTTGCTGTTTCACTTTCTGTGTCTCACTTTCCCAATTTGTGCATACACTTTTCAATCAACTACTCTGTCTCCCTCTCCTTCATATGTATGACAAAGTACATGAATGCTGTTCAAAACTGTCAGCGAAATGCATGGAGTTTGTTGGTTTTTTCCTCTGCTGCTAAATTGGTGTTAGTCTTCAGACATTGTCCAGGATACTTGACATTTACACACAGAATCTAGTGAGCAGCTAGCACTTCCTAGCCCAAGCTCTGCCCAGTTAGCCTTCCTTATCTCTGACCCCAGTTGACTAACCCTGCAAACCTCTCTGTGCTTATGCTTATGTTTTACTATTCCAGCGTGAACCTTGGTTTGTTCCCCTGACGTCACCTCATCTCATCTTTGCCTTTTTAGACTACTTCCTTACTAACTATATTAAGTAACCCAGAAATAAAGAGAGAATTTTTATCAGGTTTCTGCTTTTCCCAGCATTGGCTGTGGCTCTGCCTGTCAGATAGGTCACTAGAGACTCTGGCCATTAAAACATTTCCCAAGGGAGTCATGCCTCAATGTGTTTATCGAGGTTAATCTCTCTTTCTGATGTGTTCTATCTTTCATTCTCCATCTGGAAAATGTCTCCAGTCTTTCAAAAGTCACAGCATCATCTCTTCCTAGAAGCCTTCACTTTTTAAGTGATCTAAATTAAAGTATGTTTCCCTATCCTTTATGGCACATCTTGTAATATTTAAGACACTAGCACTGTAATTTTTTAAGTTTTTTTGTGTATTACTCTCTCTCAACTAGAAATTCTGTGAAGATGAGGACCACATCTCATTTGACTTTGTTTTTTAGCATTTAACAGTGCTCGTATATAAAATCCTCAAATACTTGGTTAATGAATCAATAAATTAATAAATGAAGGAATGGAATGCCTCTTTCATTTTCTGTTCTCCATGTCTTCTTTTACTGTTGTTTCTGTTCTTCTTCCACTGTGACTTATTTTGCAATATAGAAATAATATGGGCTTTGTGACCTTTAACTAGAGTTTTCTTAGCTCTACAAATGTTGGAAAGTGGATTTTGAACCTTAGCAAACAAGCTGAAATGGTTTAAACATTTGTTTTTGGGTGCAGCAATAGAAGAAATTTCACTGGCATTTGTTATGATGGTGAGTACATTTGTGAGGTGAACATTCTTCGCTCAAGACTGAGAGGCCTCTGGACAGATCTGCCTCCACTCTAAAGAAACACAGATCATATTTTCTCGCTGAGATCTCAGATAACTGGCCTTCCTCACATCTGGGGAACTCTTGAGATGGCCTACATAGAAACCAAAGAAGAATATACTGTTTAAAATTTTCAGGCTTGGCTTAGCCCAGATATTTTTCATAAAGATATTATGAAATAATGAAAATAAAGTTGCTAATATGCTGCCCAGCGATAGTAGGTGCCAGTAAATGTTAGTCTTTAATCCTCATCCTCCTTCCCAAGCTTACTCAAGTTCCCAAAGACATTAAGTTTCCTTGAAATTTCTCTCAGGATCAGAGTCACAAATAAGGAATAGGTCCAGGTGATATGTGCCAGGCACCAAATGTGTAGCTCCTCTTTTCAGATGCCAGCAAATTAATCATCTGCTTTGGCACTTACAAGTTTCTTGAGACTGAGATGCTCTTGATGTTGCTGTTGAATGTAATGTGTGTTCCACATCAGCTTCTCGAGGCTGTCATGCTCAGCTCACACACAGGGACCAACCCGCTGGCCCAAAATCCTTAGCAGAAATCCCTTTCCTGGAAATACTGGTAATGTTCTGACTTGCCCTCTGGTTGCTTGAAGAGGTGCTGCAGACCTCTGTGGCAGGGCTGGGGAACACTGAACGGGTATTTTGAGCAGTGTGGGAGCAGACCACGCTGGCAGTATTCCAGCTCCCACCTGAATTCCACCTAAAGTCACTGATTAATCTGGTGTACCCAAGTGGCACTATTTACAGTAATAATAAGTAGATGTTAATGTGTAAAAAATAGTTTGAAAACAAAACATAAATAGAAAAAATAGCTGTAGTGCTCAGTTTCCTTACTTGAAAAATGAGTTTTTCAAAGTTTTAGATTCAGTTTTACAAAATACAATTCAGCTGAATTTCTGTTTAAAAACTGTATTTATTAATATATTTGTGGAAATAGATGTTCTGTATTGCCTACCCACAACTGTTAATTGTAACAAGGGAAGTTGCTTATGGAACAGCTTTGCCTGTAAGCATTTTAGAGGTAAAGTAGAACTTAGGTCAATAACCTACAATATTTAAATGCACCAAGCCTGTTCTCTAGGACTCCTCTTGCTTAAGGAAATAAGAGGAATTGTTTTCTTCCAAATCTTTACAGGCTTATGAAAGGCAAGGATGCATTTATAGGTCCTCTTTCCTTAAGTCTTTGCCGTCAAAAGTCCTTGAAGCTGGGTCCCTTGGAGACTATCAATTACATGTTGTTGGTAGTGGCTTGTTTTGAGAGTTTCAAAAAAAGAAAAAAAAAAAACACTTAAATCATTTTTTCTTTCTCTTTTTAGGAGCATCTAAAGGCCTTTGATGATGAAATCAATGCTTTTTTGGACAATATGTTTGGACCGCGAGGTCAGTGAACTACTTGAGAACTTAATGTGGAAGGAACATAAGGAATAACACCATTTACTTATAGAAAGGGATTATGTTATTTCTGGGGTCTTGGAAATAGTAAGGTACTTACTATTTAGAAACTTAACTTCCTCAACTTTGATACCCTTCCAGAATGTCCAGAAGATCCCATTTCTCCTCCTGCTCAGCCTCTCCCAGGATTAAAGAAGTTCTGGGAACAGGAAGCAGAGACAGAATGAAATGCAATGCTTTCCCCCAGTGTCTGTCTGGCTACAAAGTCGAGTTGTAACTTTCCTTCTAAACTCTGCTGCTTGCTTGTTTCCTCTCCACCGCCCATTCATCTTCCACCTTCCTCATGTGCAAAGTCATATGTGACATTTCTGCCCTTAGATGCCTTGATAAATTCCCTTTAAAGATGTGTGCACTGGCTGAGCACAGTGGCTCTTGCCTGTAATCCCAGCAGTTTGGGAGGCTGAGGCGGGCGGATCATGAGGTTAGGAGTTCGAGACCAGCCTGAGCAACATGGTGAAACCCCGTCTCTACTAAAAATATAAAAATTAGCTGGGTGTGGTGACGAGCACTTGTAATCCTGGCTACTCGGGAGGCTGAGGCAGGAGAATTGCTTGAACCTGGGAGGTGGAGATTACATTAAGCTGAGATCACACCATTGCACTCCAGCCTGGGTGACAGAGCGAGACTCTGTCTCAAAAAAAAAAAAAAAAAAAAATCCCAGGGCCCATAGGATGAGCTTAGATACTTCCTCATCCTTCCTTCACCAGTCACTTACTCTACTGCAGTGGCCTCCTAATGGGTCTCCCCTCTTCTACTTGTGCCCCCTTCCAGCCATTTATTCAGCGTCAGCTGAAATGATATTCTAAAGACTAAGTCATATTGTGTAGTGTACCGTAGCTTAAAACTTATCAATGTCATCCCACTGCACTCAGGTGAAAACCAAACTTCATATCATGGACTGCGCACCCTTGGGCTGTCTAACCCCAGCGACTTCTCCAACTCACTCAGTGTCCGTCATCCTCACTGGCTTTCATATAGCTGCTCAAACCATCTTTTAATTCCGCAAATATGTAAAATTCTTTTACGTGCTATTCCTTGAGCCTGGAATTCCTCCCAAGGGTCTCCTACCCCTCCCTCCAGATGAGTCAGTTCCCCTTGTACTTCAGATGTCAGCTTAAATGTTGCCTTTTCAGTTGGGCTTTGCCTCTCTAAGGCACAGTGTCCCCCCTTAGCAGTTTCGCTTTCTGTAGTTCCAGTTACCTGTGGTCAACCATGCTCCAAAAATAGGTGAGCATGATACAGTAAGATAGTTTCAGACAGAGAGATGACCACAGTCATATAACTTTTATTATAGTATATTGTTATAATTATTCTCTCACTATCCCTAATTTATAAACTAAACTTTTCCGTAGGTCTGTATGTATAAGAAAAAACATGGTACAGACAGGGTTTGGTGGTGTCTGCAGTTTCAGGCATCCACAGGGGTCTGCTGTGGGTCCCTGAGCATTCTGTTTCAACCCTTGTTAACTTCCTTCAGATACTTCAGTTACTAAGAGCGATTTCTCCCAGGAGGGCAGGAACCCTGGCTGTTTTACTCACAATTTATCTCCAGAGTTGATTACAGTTCTGGGAACATATTCGACCCTGTATGTTTTGCAAATAAATGAATGAATTGTAGACAAAATGTTTCATTTTACTTGAGCCTTGCTGGCTCACAGAACTGTGGAAAGTCCTGAGTTCTCTACAAGTTTTTTCCTGCCCTACTGGGGGAGTGAGAGAGCAGGGAATGGGGAGGTTTTCCTGTTTCTCAAGATCTTTAAACAATCACTTAGAGAGTATTTAGGCTCTTCTCCAGTTTCTCCATAGGCTCTATTAACTGTTCTAAATGAATGACTCTACAGTTTTAAAAATAATGATACTGATTTTACATAGCTTTAAAAAAATCCTTACACATAGTTTTTGCTTTTTCCATTTTATCCTCCTGATGACTCTGTGAGGTAGGCAGGGCAGAATATCTTTATCTTCTAACCTACTTTTACTATCCTTACAGTTCTAGTGGGTGAAGGGAGAACAGCTCAGTATAGAGAGCATGACCCTCTCCCTTAGACCTGCAGGACCCGGGACTCTTTCCCTTAGTTAGGCATGCGGGACCCGGGACCCTCTCCCTTAGTTAGGCACACAGGACCCGGGACCCCCTCCATTAGGCAGGCAGGAACCGGAACCCCTCCCCTTAGGCATGCAGGACCCGGAATCGCCTCCCTTAGGCATGCAAGATCCAGGATGAACTATGATTTGTTGGTGACAATGGTTTTCTATTTGACACTTCAACTAGACAGTTAAACAACAACCTGTGTAAGCCAAGTTCACACGGAGCTTTGCTGTCAGTAAGATTGGCATGATCTGGAATTATGTGGATATGGGATCAGTTGATGAAAGGATTACTGTTGTTTACTCTGCATTGGTCATTGTGTTGATTTTTCTTTGTAGCAAGGAGATTGTAAAATTGACAGTTGACAGTGAAATCAGATGAGCTCCACAGTGACAAAGTGGCTAGCATGTAAGACATCGGGAATCTTTTCTTCTTCCTAAAAGGTTCACACGCTGATGCTGACTGGCACATCCCCTAATAAACTTCTCGGTGTCTCCTAGCCTCTTCTGATTTTGCCTACACCATGTTAGTACCATCAAGTGTATTGTTGTGTGCAAATACTGACTCAGAGGAAGAGCTAACACTTCTCAAGTCCCAAAGATAAGAAAGGTTATTACAAGCATTTGTTCCCATCTTTTGGCTGAAACAATTACAATTGTCCTTAACAACTGTAGCAAACATTTATAGCATTTTGACCAAAAAACAAAAACATCAGGTACTGTATTAGTTTGTAGTATGTGCTTGACTCAGCCAATGGATATGCATTTAATCAATGTTTCCTCTTAACTCAGCACTAAATAGGTATGAGTCGGGCAGAGTAGAGATATAAGACCTAATAGCTGTCTCCTGGAGCACTTGCTGTAGTTGGGGAGGTAAAGCCAGCATATCTGAAACTACTGGAAAACAATTAAGTCCTAAACCAAGTGTGTTTGTTTCCTAGGATGCCATAAAAAGTACCACAAACTGGCTGGCTTAAATAGGAGAAATGTATTCTCTCACAGTTCTGGAGGCCAGCAGTCTGAAATCAAGGTGTCAGTAGGGCCTTGCTCCCTCTGATGTTCTAGGGAAGAATCTGAACTGTGACCCCCCCCTCAGTTTCTGGTGGTTGGTGGTGGTCTCTGGTGTTCCTTAGCTTGTAGATGCATCACTCCAGTCTCTGCCTCCATCTTCACATGGCCTTCTCCTCTTTGTCTTCTTGTATCCAGACCTCTTCTTCTTATAAGGACACTAGTCATTGGCTTAGGGCCCACCCTAATCCAGTATAACCTCATCTTAGCTACATTATATCTTCAAAGACTCTATTTTCAAATAATGTCACATTCACAGATACCAGGAGTTCAGACTTGAAGGCCTCTTCGTAGGGGACACAATTCAATCCACCAACACCATAACAAGAAGTAGTGTAGAAGTTTAGTGCAAGTAATTTAACTTTTTTAGGCCTCTACAGCTCAATTTAAGTGTACAATGGATAATATTATCACCTATATAATGAGATTGCTTTGAGAATCAAATAAGTTAATACATGTAAAAGGCTTCAGAATAGTGCCTGGCACAGAATAAGTGCTCAGTAAATGTTACAGTAACAGCATCATAGCCATAATAATATGTGAATTACACAATAATAATCATCTTGCTCTGCACGTGAGGAGCTTTAGATATGAAAATGCAGTAGGAAACGTCTCCTTCAGAAGTCAGGACCTTTATCTGGGCATTAAAAGATGAGTATGCTTCAGATACGGAGATGGACATTAGGAAGTGACACACAGCACAGACTTACGACAGGTGACTGCAAGCCTGCGGTATGAAAGGTGGTATCTGGTAGTCACATGAATGCTGGGAAGAGCTTTCTTACCTTTTTATCTCTATCACCAATGGGAGATATTTATGTAATAAGTGATGGGACAGTCAGAGCTCAAGAAGGCACTTTCCTTGTAGAAATGGTACTGTCTGTAGGGTGGGTGTTTTAACAAGAGGCTGGAGAAGACAGGGTAGGACATACCAGGAAGAGGGACTGAGAAAACAAAACATTCAAGAAAAGGCCATCACCTGTTGATGAAACCAGCTCACTACAACTCCATTTGTAGAGATTAAAGGCAGCATGCAATTTTTATAATTCTGGGCCAAATCATTTAAACTGAAAGAGCAGAATAGAGAACAAAAATCATTTTGTGTCTACAAGTATTTTCAGGCGTTACTAATTATATTGCAGCTCTATCATGTGGGTTTCATTTAGGCTTTTACATTTTCACTTTCCAGTGTAATGGGCCTTAGTGTACTCAACTGCTTGCCTCCCTGCCGTGTATCCATCCTGTCTCGTAGCCAGGTCTGGGTCGTCAGTTCTGAATGACAGTTCCCAGGCTTTGCCTCTGCTGTCTGCAGCCTCCAGGCTTGCTGGACTGTCATCCTGTTGCTTTCTCTGAATCAGCTGAACTCTAAAGCCATTCCATTTCTGATCCTTGGCAAATTTGGAGCTGTGTAGGTTTTAGGAATTGGGATACAGTGTCGATATGTTGATATGCCTTCTTTCCTCTGACTGCTCCGATCTTCTCCATGGGAGGACGACTGCAAGGTATCACTGGCTGGGAGGCAGATGTGCTGGTTCAAACCCTGACTCTACTGCTGACTATGGTGTGGCCTTTTGAAAGTTACTAAAGCTTTCTGAACTTTTTTTTCCATCCATAAAATGGCATAATAGTACTTACTTTATATAGAGTAAATAAATACAGTAACTGTTCCAAAATAGGCATTCAGGAACTGTTACTTTGCACTTTTAATTTATTGTCCCCGTCATTCAGTGTTCAGCCGAAGCCCTATTTGCTCCGTGAAACCTTTATCAATTCAGCCCCCACTGGCTTCCTCTTGCCTTAACTCTAAACCCGAGTCCAGCCTACCTAATGCTATGTGGGGTTGTTCCCTGTTGTGCTGGTATGTACAAATGCAATGTATATGACAATACTGATGACTGAACAGGAGCGTCACTCCTCAGGATCCTCACTGTATATGTTTCTTTTCAGATTCTCGAGTCAGAGGGTGGTTCATGTTGGACTCTTACCTTCCTACCTTTTTTCTTACTGTCATGTATCTGCTGTCAATATGGCTGGGTAACAAGTATATGAAGAACAGACCTGCTCTTTCTCTCAGGGGTATCCTCACCTTGTATAATCTTGGAATCACACTTCTCTCCGCGTACATGCTGGCAGAGGTAAGTGTTTACGTAGCCGAAGCTGAAATCCAGTAAATGAGCACTTTTTATTAATAGAATCAATCACATTTAGGCTGGCAGAACTATGCAAGGTTGCCATCAATACGTTCTTTAAGACCTAAAGAACTTATTTCAGCATTTGAGATTATTTTTTTCGAAAATCCTGGAAGTCCTTGTTTATAACTTGAATATTTCTTATCCCAATTTAGACTTATTTCTTTCTTTCTTTGCCCTTTTTTTTTTTTTTTGGGGGGACAGAGTCTTGCTCTATCACCAAGGCTGGAGGGCAATGGTGCAATCTCGGTTCATTGCAATCTCTGCCTCCTGGGTTCAAGCAATTCTTGTGCCTCAGTCTCCTGAATAGCTGGGATTACAGGCACTCACCACCATGCCCCGCTAATTTTTGTAATTTTAGTACAGTGGGGGTTTCACCATGTTGCCCAGGCTGGTCTCAAACTCCTGACCTCAGGTGATGCTCCTGCCTTGGCCTCCCAAAGTGCTGGGATTACAGGCGTGAGCCACCGCGCCTGGCCTAGACCTGTATCTTTAGTCCCTAGTCTAATTATAATTTAGAATCACAATGTAGATCAAATGGGCCTTTAAAGATCATGTTACAATTTTCTCCTTTTACAGATTATGATACTGAGGCTTAGAAAAGTGTTATAATTTGCCTGAGAATAGACAGTGATTAACAGAGGATTTTAAAAATTAACTTAAACATCAAATGCATTAGTTTTACTGAAATGCTAATATATATATTCCCTTAAAGAATACTACATTTGTCTTTGGAACACTGATAGAGGTGTGGCTGTTTCTCAGGACTGACGCGTTGGGCCTGAGCTGACGTTTCAGCTCAGCTCTAGTGGCTCTTCGTACATCCTGTACTCCCAATTCCTCCAAACCAAACCAAGCACCAAATCAAGGTCATTTTACAGGAGAAGGAACAAGGATGATTGCCGTGTCTGTATAACCAAAAGTTGTTTTAATGTAATAATAGAAAGGGAAAAAAAGTGTTAAATAACTTACTCTAGAAAAAAAAAAAAAGAGGGACAAAGAGAACAAAAGCATAACATTTTTTAGGGGATAGATAAAATCATTCATACAAGCTATAAGCAGCTGATAATGGCACAAATATAGCTGCCTATCTGGTGATCTTGAACTCTAAAAGAAAATAAATCATTGCTTTAAAATGAAGGTACTCTTGAGAGTTTATTCTATGCATTATTCTAATATGTACCATTCTAATCATGGTTAATAACTATTAACATTACCATAAATGACTGGAATGAAGCTCTCAGAATTTTAGGCATCAGTCAGTGCAGGAGATGGAATTTTGGGGTCAAAATGCCATGCTGACAACTTTTTTCTTTTTTTTTTTTTGAGATGGAGTCTTGCTGTGTCCCCCAGGCTGGAGTGCAGTGGCGCAATCTCAGCTCATTGCAACCTCCACCTCCTGGGTTCAAGTGATTCTCTTGCCTCAGCCTCCTGAGTAGCTGGGATTACAGGTGTCTGCCACCATTGCTGGCTAATTTTTGTATTTTTTGTTTTATTTAGTAGAGATGGAGTTTCACCATGTTGGTCAGGCTGGTCTCAAACTCCTGACCTCAGGTGATCCACCTGCCTCAGCCTCCCAAAGTGCTGGGATTACAGGCATGAGCCACTGTGCTGGGCCAACAACTCTTAAAATCATATCACATAGGTGCTTACTAATCTACTTGACACTGAAAGGACCATTTTTATTTTAGGTTCTCTATTAGCTGAATTTTAGCTCACCAGATGAATTAGCAAGATAGTAATTTATGGTGTTAGTTTCTCTATATAGCAGAAGGAAAGGTACTCTTGGATTGTTTTCCAAAAGTGACAGCTGCACACTATTTACAAGAGCAAAGACTTGGAACCAACCCACACGCCCATCAATGATAGACTGGATAAAGAAAATGTGGCACACATACACCATGGAATACTATGCAGCCATAAAAAAATGAGATCATGCCCTTTGCAGGGACATAGATGAAGCTGGAAGCCACCATTCTCAGCAAACTTACACAGGAACAGAAAAACAAATGCCACATGTTCTCACTCATAAGTGGGAGTTGAACAATGAGAACACATGGACACAGGGAGGGGAACATCACACACCTGGGCCTGTTGGAGGTTGGTAGGCAAGAGGAGGGATAGCATTAGGAGAAAAAACTAATGCTTGTGGGGCTTAAAACCTAGATGATGGGTTGATAGGTACAGCAAACCACTATGGCACACGTATACCTACATAACAAACCTGTACATTCTGCACATGTATCCCAAAACTTAAAGTAACACTTTAAAAAATTAAAAAAAGAATTGACAGTTGCAGCAGAAGGGCCAGCCTACATGTCCAACCACACCAGTAGCTCTAGTACCTGTTTGGATGGAGCTTTGGTGTAGTGGAGTTAGAAGGCACAAGTTTAAGTGTTAAATCTATCTGTGTAATTTTAGAGAAGTTATTTAGGCTTTCCAAACCTTAGGTAACTTATCTATAAAGCAGAGATACAACATTTATCCTACCTAACTCTTGAGTGATTTGTAAGGATTCATGACTTTTTTACTAGGCACTGTGAAGCCCTGAAGGTATAAGATGGGCAAGGCACAGCTTCTACACTTGAAGAGCTTGTGGACTCATACAGAGCAGGAGTTGGTAAATGTGAAAATGCTTTGTGAATTGTAAAGTGCTAGTTGAACAGCAGTCACCATCACCAGGAACAAGAACAATGGTTTAGTTTTTGAACAATGAGGTAAATGTCGTCTTTCTAGGAAGAACATAACTGCAGTGAGCCCACTGCCTACCACTGATTTTACATACTGCTTACCCACTCTTTCTTTTACCCTTTGTATCTTTTAGTTCAAAATCACTACCATTGATTGCCACGCAGCCTCCTCTCTTTGATTGTGACCTCTTTCAGAGCAGGCGAAAGGTCTTTGTTTGACACTCTGGGGGTATGTTTAATAGACACTAGTCAGGTGACAGACTGATTCAACCTTGCTAACTTGTTAGGCACCAGCAGATGTTTGCGTAAGCCGGAAAGTCACTGCAATAATTAACGGTCTTTCAACAAATATGTATTGAGTTCCTACGCTGTCAGATTCGATTCAGATTCCAGAACACAGCCTTTGCCCTGTGGGAAAGAGTGAGGAGCTGGTGATGGGGCAGACTCTGAGAAAATGACATTGGAGTTGAGACTGAATGATACAGTGGACAGAGGATCAGTGGTTCAAGATGAGGTAGAGAGATGGCAGATGACTTTGGGGCCTTGGAAGGAATTTGGCTAGCACTCTAAGTGTAATGGAAGGCTATTGGAGGATTTTAATGATGGGAGTGATATTATCTCCCTTTTAAAATAGATCACTCTAGCTGCTACATAGAAAATGGACTATGAGGGTGAGTTGGCAAGAATGTTAGCAAAGAGTCTAGTTAGATCACTGCAGTACTGCAGGCAACAATGCTAGCATCTTGGATTAAGGTGGTGAAGATGGGGAGAAGGTGGTGGATTCTAAGTATATTTTGGAGTAATTTAGTCCACACCTTCTTACAGCTAACCTTATTTGACAGCCTGGCTTCCTTTTCTTCAAAACATAGGTTAGATGACTTCTGTAGATTAAGAATGGTCCAGGGTGAGACAGAGCCTCTCTAGCATGGCTGCCTATTCAGTTATTAAATTGTCAGGTTTGCACAGATGCCACAGGAATAGGGACAGCCCGAATAAATCTGACTAAAGCATTAAATATCATGGGGAAACAGAGAATATGCCCTGTCCTCTCCACACTCAGGAGTTACAGAGTAACTATTGTTAATGTGCAGAGTAGAGATTGGAGCCTCTTGCTACAGAACCACAACCTGACCAGAGAGGTTTTTAATTACTCCTTGTACACAAAGTTAAACAGCTTCCTTAGTTTGAAAAATGCACCAACACACCAAAGTTTGTATATAGATTAAAGTATTTCTGGGTCCCATCTAGGCTGTCACTGGTTTCCAGTTGAGAACTAAGAGCATAAATCCCCTGGGAGATACTGGGAAGATTTGTAATAGATCCAAAAATCCAAGGTTTTCTTCTTTCACAGGACTTATTGATGTTGATAATCTTTAATTAGCATGATGTTAACAGAAAGGTTTTCTGTTAGAAGAGAGGTATATCAGGACAGTGAAGAAGTCTCGCAAAGGCTCTAAAATGTTCCAAATGTTACTTAGTAATCTTTCTCTCTAACATTTAATTAGTTAACATCCAAACCCTCTCAGCCGTGTATATGTATTTTAATGAATCTATACCTTTATATATCTCTAAGGCAGCAGAAAATATTAAATAGTAGGCCTTTTGCCTGTAATACCTGATCCAAATCAATGCCAAATGCCTTATGTCCTAGAATTTTAACTTTTTACAGGGGGAAAACTTCTTTCATAGAATTTTCAACAAAGAATAAGCTCCTTTTCTCATGATGTGGAAAGTACACTAAACAATGAATTAGGAAGTCTGAATTTAATCATCCTTCTAACACTTTGCTGTCATGTCATCTTGAGCAAATCATATACTCATCAAATGTTTACTGAGCACTTACCACATAGCAGGTACTGGGCAAGGAACTGTAGATACAAAGATGAGCAAAAACAGAGGCATAAAGCTTTTGGAGCTTTTTGGTTTTGGGGAGCAATGGGGAAGATAGACATTAATCACTAAATTGTTTGATTACCAAGTAGCATAAATGCAATGAAGAAAATGGCTTAAGAACCTTACTGAACCCTGTTTTTGTATCTGTAAAATGACAATATATATATTTAAAATTGAGATGATTAAGTATATCTAAACCAACACAAAATATTAAATTTTTACTGTAGTTTTCTCACAGTTGTTTTCAACTAATTCTACATTTTGCTTGTAGAAACATGGATAGGTAATTCCTTACATAAAATTTTGTGACTCAAATGATAGTTAAAATCTGTTATTTTGACCGATGTAAATAGTTAGAGGTAACATATATTAAGGAAGTAGCCATTGATTTCAGTCCCAACAGCAGGAATTAAGTCCCTTGATAATAGGTATCTGAGGATAGGATTGAGACAAACTCAAATTCTGGGAAATTCCTACTCAAACCTTGAATAGATGCCAGAGACATGAATGGGAAATTCAGTCTGCTTCCAAATTCCTGTGCTGATGTTTGTTTTTCTTTCTTTCTCCGTTCCTTGGCAGCTCATTCTCTCCACTTGGGAAGGAGGCTACAACTTACAGTGTCAAGATCTTACCAGCGCAGGGGAAGCTGACATTCGGGTGAGCCACTAGAAGCAAATCAACCAACTATAACCAGTTCTCACTGACAAGGAGCGGAGGCTTTCTCCTTCCAGATAGGGGGTAGAGGCTAGAATTAGATAAGAAAGGAGTTCCTGTTCTAATAGAAATGCTTGGTTACAGGCTGGGTGCAATGGCTCATGCCTATAATCCCAGCACTTTGGGAGGCCAGGTCGGGCAGATCATGAGGTCAGGAGTTTGAGACTAGCCTGGCCAATATGGTGAAACTCCATCTCTACTAAAAAGATAAAAAATTAGCTGGGCATGATGGCACATGCCTGTAACCCAGCTACTAGGGAGGCTGAGGCAGGAGAATTGCTTGAACCGGGACCCGAAAGACAGAGGTTGCAGTGAGCTGAAATCACGCCACTGCATTCTGGCTTGGGCGACAGAGCGAGACTCTGTCTCAAAAAAATAAATAAATAAACAAATGCTTGATACAAAAATGATTTCCAACTATCTGTCTGTAGGGGCCCGGCTGAATAAACCACAGCACATCCACGTAGCTGATGCCTCTACAAAGTAGAGTGAGGAAGAGCTCTATGCTGCTGCAGAATTCTCTAGGATATAGTTACGTGAACAAAAACAACTTGCAGACTGTGTTTATAGGATAGCACCCTTTGTGCCAGAAATGATATGAATGTGTATGTGTATTTGCTTGTATTTTTAAAAAGAAACAATGAGAGGATAAACTAAAAGCTAATAAGTGTTTTATTTGAGGGGAGGGAACAGAGCAGAGGGGATACAGTGGAAGCCAGAATTCTCTGATTGTACCTTGTGCTATATTTGATTTTGGAACCCCTCAGTGCTTTACATAATTATAAAACAAAATTTAAAAAGAAAGCAAGCCAGCCTCCCCCCAAAAGTTGGAAACAAACTTAAATAAATGAATATACCTATATATTAAGTTGGTGATGTAACCACCCAAGGAATTACTTCAAATGACTTTAAAACAGTTTTTTTGACGAAATGCCCCTAGTGAGATATATCTTAACAGTATTCAGTAATTTTTTGTTATTGTTAATAACATTGGTATTGCTTTTTTGACACTGTTATAGTACACTATGGGATAAATTCATTATATAATAATGTTAATATCAGTAGGCACTACGATTTGAAACATGGAAAAAAAGAGACACCAATAAAAAAGTTAAACTAAAACTCATTAATCATAGATCCAAGTTGGAAATATCAGAATTAACTATCCTTTTTTAAACATTTAATTTTTAGCTCTGTCTACAGAAATGCCTAGTCTATGACAGCCCAGTACAACGAGCAGTGATCACCTAGATTGTACTCTCTAAATATAATGTTCTCCAGAAAGGATTAGCTTTCTTAGATAATGGGTTTCTTCCTGGTTTGGGGCAGGAAATGTTTATAAGATGAACCTAGGACATCAATGACAGAAAGCAAAGCAGCTATCCAGGATGAGGATCATCACAAAAAGACAGGAGTTGTCTGAAGGGACCTCACTGCCTAAAAATGGGGAAGGTTGAACATCGAAAAGAATACTGACTGGAATGAATTGAAGCATTAAATATGTAAAAAAAACCATGAATTTAAAATGATACTCACTTTAAAAAACTCTCATTGTTACCTTTTGAAGGGTGTTAGAACACCAATTCATTTTAGGAAAAAAAAAATTAGAGGGAAAGATTAAACATTTATCTTGCCTTTCATATGTGAATTTTCAAATAGATGAAAAGGGAAAGTTCTCTATAGAAAAGAAAAATGCTTAGTTAACAATAGAATTAGAAAATCACCATTTTGCAACTCCTAGTGAAATAATGGATGGTATTCGTTTGTTTTGCGTTGCTATAAAGGAATACCTGAAGGTGGGTAATTTATAGAGTTTTATTTTGGCCCATGGTTCTGCAGGCTGTACAGAAAGCATGGTGCGGGTATCTGCTTCTTATGAGGCCCTCAAGAAGCCTGTAAACATGGTGGAAGGTGAAGATGGGGGCAGGCATGTCACATGGCAAGAGAGGGAGCAAGGCATAGGGAGGTCCCAGACTCCTAAACAATCAGATCTTGCAGTAACTCACCTCAGGAAGGGCACCAAGCCATTCATGAGGGATCTACCACCATGTCCCAAACACCTCCCACCAGGCCCCACCTCTGACATTGGGGATCACATTTCAACATGAGATTTGGAGGGGACAGACATCCAAGGTATATCATGGATCTGACAGCAGTTATTTGTGAAGGGTAAAACTATTCAGTGAAAATTGAATAGAAACTTCATAATGATTGGACTCAACACCTGAACTCACGGTTCAGTCTCAATATCAGTGGAACAGCCAGAAATTACGTACCTCCTGATGGGAGGCAGTAGAAAGCAGACAGAACCCTCTGAAGTATCAGTACCAAAAAAAAAATTACACCTGAATCTAATCAAGCCTGTATATCTAATTGCCAGTAACAGAAAATGCATGTGTAGAGAAATGAGTTAAATGACACTAAGAAACAATCATATAAATCTGTAATATTAGAAATTATTTATAAAGGATCTAGTTTTTCTAAGAATTAAAAGACATGAAAAAAAGGAGCAAAGAGAGAGAACTGTTATTGGTTAGCAGAGACTTAAAAACCATTGCAAATCAATGGAAGATGGACTTTGTTTGGATCTTGATTTAAACTAATTATAAAAACACATTTTGGCAGGGGCTAGGACAAAAAAAGGACATTTTTGAGACAAAGAAATTTGAATGTGGATTGGGCCCTTAGAAGATACTAAGGAATTGTTAATGTTGTTAGACAAGATAATGACTTCATGCTTATGTTAAAAAGTTTCCCTATCAGAAGTATTTATAAATAAAATGATTCCTTGGGTTTGCTTACAATATTCTATACTTCCTACTCCCCTGTTCCCCAAAATGGTGGAAAATGGAATTGATAAAAACTAGATTGGAATCATATTGAAAATTCTGAAGTTTAGCATTGGATACTGAGTATTCATTTTACTTATTCTCCCTGCATTAGTGGATGTTTGAAATTTTCTATAATTAAACATTACATATTATTAAGGCAGATAGTAGACACCATTTAGCTAAAATCTTTAATATCAAGATGGACCTTTTCTTTTTGGAGACAGAGTTTCACTTTTGTTGCCCAGGCTGAAGTGCAATGGCACAGTCTCAGCTTACTGCAACTCTGCCTCCTGGGTTCAAGTGAGTCTCTGGCCTCAGCTTCCTGAGTAGCTAGGATTACAAGTGTGCGTCGCCACACCTAGCTAATTTTTGTATTTTTAGTAGAGACAGGGTTTCGTCATGTTAGCTAGGCTGGTCTTGAGCTCTTGACCTCAGGTAATCCACCTGCCTTGGCCTCCCAAAGTACTGGGATTACAGGCATGAGCCACCGTGCCTGTCCAAGATGGACATTTTAAAAACATCTTCAAAACTGCAATACAAATAAAGTAAGACATCTTGATTTCTCTGCATTCATTTTTATTTCTAATGCATTACCACAAACCCATGCATTTTGGGATACCATACAGTCCTCTAAAGGTTGTTTTTATTTATTTGTAGTTTAGTATTTCTGAAGGTTAATTATCCCATCAGACATTAAGATGGTTGCCACCACACCTTATGCTGATCTTCTTGGGAAGTAGACAGTAGAGCATGATATTTTAACTCCAATGTTCCTATTATGTAATGTCTTTAAAAATATCTTAGGTTTAATGTTAGTGATAAAAACACAGTGCCTTTAACTAAAGAAGTGTCTCCCTGTATATGAGACTGACTGAGGGCCTAAGGAGGGAAAGGATGTGGTTATCATGACCTCCCACTGTTAGCAGGGGTAAATGACATCTCGATTTTTAATCCAGTCATCTGAGGAAAAGACACAAAAGATGTAGTCATAGACTGCCCTTGGACAGCGTGTCTAAGAGACAAAAAAAACATGTACTTTAGAAGAGCAGAGGAAAATTATAATCTAATGTAACAAACAATAATGACCTCCTGTTGAGTGCTAGGAACTGAGCTAATGAGAGTGACAGTTTCTGCCTTTGAGTGATTTGCAATCTATTGATAGATTCATAACCCTGGCTACATTCTATTATGGCTATTGATTATGGAGCCATAAAGCAATGTGAATACAAGTGAAGCAGCAGTTCAGCCTGAGAAAGGAAAGGGCTGGGAATTTCCAGACAAAAGGTGGCATTTAAGAGGAATATTAATAAAGGATGACTAGAATATGCCAGACCTGAGGAAGGGAAGGAGTGCTGGGAGCAGGGAGAAGAGTTTTTATTGCTGGAGGAGGAGTAAGCAGGCCACTCTCCCAGCGCACAGGACACCATGGTGGGGAGCTTGCAGGAGGCTGGTGGGAACAGCAGCCAGCCAAGCCCATAGGAGATCCTGGGTTCAAGCCAGGAGTCATGGACTTGGCTCTGCAGGTGCAGAGGAATAACCTGATCTCACGTGTGTCCTGGAAAAATAACTCGTTTCTCACTAGAGTGGGGTGGATTGCTTGAAATAAGGAGGAACTGGAGACAAGGACACCAGGTGAGCTGCCTTTTCGGCAGTGAGAAGGAAATCGTAGGAAAGCGCAGGCAACACGCAGAAGGCTGAGTGGTGGCAACGTTCCCGTCTCTCATCCTTTTCCCCTCTTTACAAATCTCTATAGGTAGCCAAGGTGCTTTGGTGGTACTACTTCTCCAAATCAGTAGAGTTCCTGGACACAATTTTCTTTGTTTTGCGGAAAAAAAACAGTCAGATTACTTTTCTTCATGTATATCATCATGCTTCTATGTTTAACATCTGGTGGTGTGTCTTGAACTGGATACCTTGTGGACAAAGTAAGTTATTTTGTAAATTTTTCCATTTTGAGGAATGGCTCTTACAGAGACCGCTGGTGCTGTCTTGTATTGAGCACATGCAGATCAGAAGAGCATGAAGGGAGGTCAAGAGTGCCAGCCTCACCATGGCAGGATACCTGTATCTGCCAGGGGCCGTGTATTCTAGTGTCTGGTCTTTGATACAGGCAAAATCTGAGCTGAACCTTAAACTGTGTTCTTTTCCATGCATCCTGTGTCCCATGGTCAGAAGCACATACCCCAGCGGGTGCTGCTTCACTCCAATCCCAGGTGTTGTTTGACTCCTGTGGAAATACATCACCTTCCACAGTCACCACTTCCCTGTGAAACAGATTGAGGCATTTCAGCTTTTAGGGTTTCTTGTTTTCACATTCTGAAAAATTAAGGTTACATCCCCGAATGACCTACAAGATTTTCCATTTTTTAAAACTGAGAGTTACAATAAGAAATACACTTTATATCACAACCCAGTGTACTCATTCATATTTTTTTTTTTTGAGGTGGAGTTTCCCCCTTGTTTCCCAGGCTTGAGTGCAATGGTGTGATCTCGGCTCACTGCAGCCTCTGCCTTCTGAGTTCAAGCAATTCTCCTGCCTCAGCCTCCTGAGTAGCTGGGATTACAGGTGCCTGCCACCACACCCAGCTCATTTTTTGTATTTTTAGTAGAGATGAGGTTTCACT